TATTCAGTAACACGAATATCACAAAGCATTTTTGGAGATTTCACTTATGGATAGATTCAATTTCAGTATGTGCGTATGTACCTACGGAAAGAGAAATGATGAAAAAATCACGAGAAAAAGTTGACGACATTTTTTTCTGAAGAATTTTACTAGTTTATCTGAAGAAACTGAAGACGTAGTACGTAATTAGTCACTCTTTTGATCGGAAAATATGGCTGATAAGAGCTTAATGCTGAGGTATGATGATTGGTGCGGGGCTCGGATATTTTAATATAGTTTTATAAATCAATCTAATGATTGGAAAATAGGATATCTTATAGGCTTGAAAGTGTTCCTGATTCATTATTGCTATTTTGCGTTTCGGTGTTTTTCAAACAGAAGAAATATTTCTTTTATATTTTAACTCTAATTAGGTATTTCATTTGCTTCTTTGATTGACGACTTGTTTGTTTTATGGAAATTCATGTTCACTGAGGATACACTATAAAAGCTATAAATACACAATTTTGTCTATTTTCTACGATAGCTCTATATTTGTTGACAAGTTTCGGTGTAATGGTGTAATGACCGAAACTAGTCAACAAATATAGAACTGTCGTGGAAAATAGACAAAAGTGTGTTTCTATAGTTTTTGTAGTGTACCCTTAGTATTTCATTTCCATTCCTCCAATTTATAAGTATAATGATTAAAAAATGAAACAGACATAGCCAAAGTGATTCCAGGTCAACAAACGACCACTTCATTAGAAGTTGAATATGGAATTATAAAATTGAATTTCTAACAACATCCTGTATATTCAAACTATTTGTGAGAAAATTTTCTTATCAAAAATTCATGATGAAAACGGAAAGAGATTACTTTTCGAAACAACAATAATTTTTCAGAGAGAAGCTCATACCTTGGAATTGATGATGTTTGGATATTCAAAGCGCAATGGTATGACGTGAAAATGTCTCTAAAATTGCTTTCATTATGGAGGGTGACTGAAAAATTGAAATGATAACAAAATCGGGTGATACAGTTTGGTCTAGTACCACAATATCTATTATATCATTCCAAATATCAATTACATCACTAGATAGCTCAAAAATAGAAGGATTCGGTTTACTGAGTGACAGATCGTGCGCGATGCAGGAGTGAGCGCCGCCATTTTGAAGTCATTTTGCTCTGTTTCAGCCACCACACTCCAATTTTTTAAACGTATTCTTCAATGAAATTCTATAGCATTTTCATTCATGGATGATCACAATTAGATACTTGAACTAAAATGGAAATTTTACAACTAAAATTGATAGAACTTTCAAATAAAGACATAACTTATATCTATCATTGACTAAACCGATACAAATTTTTTCATAAAAAAATGAAACTTGATGTAGCAAGTCGGTGTTAAATTCATGATACTATGTATTCTGGCCAATGACTTATTATTTTTTTGCAAAAAAAGAAGGATGTCTTCTCTTGTAGCAGACGTCTTGTAGGTGAGATTACCTACAATCATATGAATAATGTTATTTTTCCATCGGATTTGAAATTAGGAGATGGATATGGTTGAACTTTGTGAAAAAATTTGTGACTTTGAAAATATTCAACAGGCAATTCAAAATATACAAATATTGATAGGTAAAAATATTGATGATACATATCCCACAAATGAGTAGTGGTATTTTCGCAGTTTGAACTAATCATGTACTCAACCATGAGGTAGTACATTACTACAATCATTCTGGAATAGATGGTGAGTAGAAAATAATAGGCAAATGAGGAACCAACGAGAATTGACAACTATCAAGTAACTAGTGAGATATATTCACAGGAAAAGTTTTCCTCAAATGAAAATCTGAACAATTTTTCAAATGTCTGTATGTATAAAATAAACTGATGAGATCAGCATTTTGATGATGAAACAATTATATATTATGATTTTCATATTGAAAAAAATTATATATTTGAAAAACAACTACTTCCCCTGCTAATATCAAAATGAACATTTACGCATAGCAGCAGGATCACGCTAAAATCAATCGAGTAGATTACCTATATAGTTATTTTGAGCTATTTATTATCCCTCATTAGGACAAATAAGATCCGATCCATAGAACAGTGACTTATTAGGACATGAAAGATCCGATCTCGAAAGTAGTGAGTCTGGAATACGACTATCTATAAACTTGATTTTACTGCATGTATGAAACTTTCACCTGAGAAAGAATGTTGTTGATATTACTGAAGTTCTATCCCATCGCAAACCCGTTATTTTTAACACTTCGACATGTGTTTCAATCACCAAATGATCATCTTCAATTTAATATTTCTGTTGACTACTCCATCCGAGAAGGTGTAATCCGAATTTTTACCTGCATTATACAGGGTGTAACTGAATAAGTGTTGAACATTCAAGGAGGTGATTTCTCTTCGAAAAAAAGATAGGATTTTTCATATACAGAAATTTCATTAGAGTATCCCTTGTTAAGATACAGCCCCTTAAAGGGGGTACATAAAATTTGTATAACAATTTTTTTCACAAGCACTAAAAAAGTTACAATATTGAAATTAACCTGACGTTTTGTACTACCAAAAAGACACCTAGCCAGAAATTTATTTGATTCACCCCATGGTTGTAAGGGGTGGAAAACGCAACACCTAAAATTCATTTCCAATGTAACTTTTTGTCTTATCATTTGTTTACCATTCAAAAATTCATTTCCCATAGCCTGTTTCACTCTAAACAAAAAATGTCACTTGGGTTTTTTGCCCAAAATCAACCAGTTCGCAGCAGAAAATTATTTTACGAATAACTACAGAGATACATCGTCATACGAAAATACGAAACAAATCTATTTAGTAGGTCGCTATTAGCGATAGTGAAAATTGAATTGGTATGATGCTGTCAGTTTGTGAATTTTTGAAATTGAATTATTACTAATTATGTATTGTTGTTCTGTTCTTAATTTGTTATTTTAATAATTCACTTGTTATTAAAATGGCATACATAAATGAGGAAATGGTTGATATGCATTACGTTTACGGTCTGTCGCAGGGGAATGGGTTAGAAGCTTCTAGAAGATATGCTGAAATGTATCCTCAACGGCAGCATCCTTCACATAGAATATTTGCTCGACTTCATCAACGATTACGAGAATATGGTTCATTCGACAAAAGAACACAGGATTGTGGTCGCCATCGAGAAGTACGAACACCACAGCTTGAGGAAGCATTACTTAATTTGATTGAAGAACAACCTACTACCAGTACTAGAAAGATTGCTTTCCAGCTAAATGTTGATCATATGACGGTTTTTCGAATTTCAAAGGAACAACTCTCATACCCTTGCCATCTGCAACGTTACCGCGAGACTTTCCAAACCGTTTTGAATTTTTCAATTGGATGCTGGAAATTATTAGAAGAAATTGTGACTTTCTGAAGACGATATAATTCACAGACGAATGTAGTTTTTTTTCGGGACAAGATTATTAATTTTCATAATTACCACATATGGGCCGATGAAAACCCTCACGCTATTGTCGAAACTAACCATCAAGAACATTTTTCTCTTAACATGTGGCTCAGAGTTTTTGGGGATAATTTGATCGGTCCTCATTTTCTACCTCCTCGATTAAAAGGTGAGGCATACGTTCAATTTTTAAGAGAAGTGCATCCAGTACTGCTGGATGAGCGTCAGAAGGGATATGTTTTTCATGCATGATGGGGCTCCCGCCCATTTTAGTCAAGTAGCACGTCAGAATTCAACTGAAACATATGCAAATCAGTGGATAGGTCAAGGAGGACCATAGAACTGACCCACTCGATCCCCGGATCTCAATCCTCTCGATTTCTCTATTTGGGGCCATTTACAGCATTTGGTTTATCGTACTCCTGTTCGCGATGTAGAGGACTCATGAAACCGCATCATCGATGCGTACAGGGTAATCAGAGAGAATCCAGGAATATTTGAGCGAATACGTGGCTCAATGCGCCGACGTCTAGACGCATGCGTAATGTCTGAAGGTAGACATATTGAACATTCACTATGATTTCTACATGTTGTGTGTTTTGTTAATTATAAATTAGTATTGTTCATTACCCTGTAATCGTTTAATGCAGGTACTAACTACAAAATAACAATAAATCCATCCATCCAAAATAACAATAAATAAATCCAGTTCGCATTTATGACGATGTATCTCTGTAGTTGTTCATGAAATAATTTTTGGCTGCGAACTTAGGAACATTTTGGGCAAAAAACCCAGGAGACATTTTTTGTTTGGAATGAAACACGCTATCGGAAATGAATTTTCAAATGGTAAACAAATAATAAAGAAAGAGTAACATTTGCGGGGATGCGGGTTGCGGGGTAAGGGGTTGCGTTTTCCACCCCTTACAACCATGGGGTAAAGCAAATAAATTACTAAGTGTCTTTTTGGTAGTACAAAACGTCAGGTTAATTTCAATATTGTAATTTCTTCAGTGCTTGTGAAAAAAATTGTTATACAAATTTTATGTACCCCCTTTAAGGGGCTGTATCTTAATAAGGGATGCTGCAATAAAGTTTCTTCATATGAAAGATCCTATCTTTTTTTCGATGAAGAATCACCTCCTTGAGTGTTTTACATTTATTCAGTTACACCCTTTATATTCCTGGTCTGTATTCAATAGTAACAGCAATCTTTTCAATGTTATTTATGTCAAAAGTAGGGTAGACTGGGTACGGTTGAAACAGTTTCACTTATAACGTCCATAGTTCTGCTTTTTATAACCCGAGCGATGAAGAAGATATGTTAAATAAAAGAGCATGTTTCTGTCTACTAATAGGCAATATGTTTTTAGTCCCAGGTGTGTTATTTTTAAAAGTAGATCAAATTAAAAAATAAATCGGATTTGTTGCAACCGTCCCCATACCAGGGGCGGTTGAAACAGTGAATGGGGTCAGTTGAAACACATGCGAATAATACAAAATATAATATTACAACACGTTTCATTAATTGTTTATTTTAAATCTAAGTATAATTAAGTAACTCTTTGACATTAGTAATCAGTCTTCAATATTTATATACTTGAAACGATATTTTTAATCAGCCTTTAATGTTTTAAAGCACACTATTTAAAATATAGGTATATTATCAACCATCAAAAAACTAAGTCACTACAAATTACTTAACATTGATATAAAATTTACGTAAATTAAACCAAAATCAACTGTTTGTTTTTTAAACATAGCAAACTAAACAATAATATTTAAAAAAAAGTTTGAAAGAAAACAATTTTTGGCTTTCATTAGTCCAATTAGGATAAGCCAAATTTAAAGATCAATCAGAGTCGCAATTCTGACAAATATAGCTAAGACCACTTTCTGTGCATTCTTCGTGAGCCCACAGTTTACAACTGATGCATTGGATCCACTGTTCTCCGGGTCTGCTCTTTGAATATGAAGACATACAGACAAGACAGAAGTACTCCTCATCTTCTGATGATACCTCCTCTTGTATATTTTTCTGTTTACCTTTTATGGTGTTTCTTTTATTTTTTCCTCCATCAAGTTGCTTCTTTTTTCCTCTATTCAATTGCTTCTTTCTTCCTCCATCCAATTGCTTCTTCACTTGTTTAGCTCTTGTTCGTTTCAATCTTATTTCATGCTCTTTTCTTATCTCTTCTTTCTCTGGAGTATCAGTGTAAATAGTAGACTTCCTGATTTTGCGCCCTTTATTATTATTTTTCCTTGGAGCAGCTTTCGGAAATGGTCGTATTGTTTCCGGTGAAAATACAGCGGGAATAATAGAAGAAATTGTTTGAGCACTTGTACTGGGTTTCGGAGAAGTTTCCTGAATATTAATGCTGCTGTGGTGTCTGGGTGGTGTAGTTACAGTTTCCTGATTTTCAATTATAGGGACTAATGAACTATTGATAGCTCCTGGTTGAGCGACCATATCTGCGGGTTGTTTGTAATTTAANAGCAAAAATACTTACTTTTGGTTATCAAAACACAATAGGGTCCCCTAGAAACAGCCAAAGCGCGCGGAGAGTGGCGCAACACTAAGATTCGTGTTTAGAACTGTCGTCCGCTTCGTTCTCCCCTTGGACCCCTCGCCGCCCCACCAACGGTTTGCGAGATATTCGTTTTGTTTCAACCGTCCTTTGTTTCAACCGTACCCAGTCTACCCTATACACAACTTCTGAAATAACAAAAAATGTTTAACAAAAATATAGAATCCTAACAAATCTGAATCAGATGTATTATTGAAGTTCCAGCACTAAACCTATCTTTGAGTTTTGAACCGCTGAAGCATGTTTTTGAGATGATTGTTAATTATCCGCTGTCCACAGCTCCACAGCTTATGACATTACGTCTAATTTATGTCAAATATGTATTTAGGTGTCATTAAGTCTTTAGGTATGTCTGATGTTCGTTTCCCTTTCGTTCATTTGATTTATATTTCACCTGATCATTTGATTAATTTTGAAATGACATTCTTGCCTCCCCCGATATTACAATATATGAATACGGCAGATTCAAGAGATTCTTCAGTGCTATTATTGATGTGGATTGCTCCCATATTTTCCGAACAAGCAAGACTTCACTCACTGCCTAATTTGTTATTATCAATAGCTTATTCCAACGTTTGATCTAAAATAAAAATGCATTTATTATTATAAGTTCTATCACCAATAGGTATACTTGTGATGCACTGTTTGGAACCTTTGGTGTAGTAATGAATATTACACCAAACCTTTATTTTAACACCTCGATACGTGTTTCGATCGACAAGACCCTATGCTATTGGAATATGAATGTACAAATAGCATTAATAATAACCGTCAGTTATGAATATCTTACTTGAAATCAAAGCTCGCCACATAACTGAATTGTATTCAATTCACTGAAAGACAAACCTATCTCACAATTAGTCCTTTTCTCTAGATAGTAAATCCTTCGGAATCATCAAAACTTTGTTCATCTTCCAGTTTCTCTTGTTCCAGATACCCCCGCCATGCCACCCTCGCCTCACTGACTTCCAATTTAAAATTATGCCGAGCGGGGTGCGGCGCAAAAATGAATACATTAAATTATATGGATGACAAGAGCGAATTAGGCGGTTTTCGTGATAAATTACGCCTCTGGAAACACGGAGTGATTACAGAAATCGGCTTCTAATTGTTTGGCAGTCAGCAGAGGCGCAAAGGGGTTTCAGGGCGATATGATGGATATTCGCATTCTGCGAACGGGGGAAAGTAATTATGGTTGCAAAACCACCTTCGGAATCTTACAAAGAGTTTGAGGGTGAATTATGATACTTGAATGTTTAATGAGAAGAACGATAAACATTTTGCAGGAAAACAGTGGCGAACAAGGAAAGGGGACAATATATTAAAAAACGTCACTTTTTTTGTAAAAAATCAGAGTTTTTAGCATCCTTTGTGAGGGTTGTCAGTAGATCAACTATGGCTTATCAGTGTTTGTTCATGTGTATGACTCATTTGCGGTGGCGTTATCGCTGTTTGGGAGATAAGGATTCGAGTACGCTTGTAATGATATAAGAACAATAATAATTGGGTATACAGGGTGTTGTCACAAAGCACATCGACCAAATGATATACAGAGTGTGTGCAGCGTTAAAGAAAAAAATTGCTCCCATCGAGGTATACGAGGTGTGTGCAGCGTAAAAAAAAAACATGGTTGCCAACGTAAAAGAAAAATACATGGGGCCTGCTTGTCGAAAACTCATAAGGTATACAGGCTGTTGTTTTAAAACACACCAATCAAATGCTATAGAAGGCGTGCAGCGTTGAAAGGAAAACATGATTGTCAGAGTTGAAGAAAAAACCAGGACGTCAATATGTACAGGGTGTCTCAAAATACAAAATTTGAAAATACATTGAGTCATTGTGTACAAGGTGATACAGGGTATGCAGCGTTGAAGAAACAAAAAAACATGGCGGCTGTTTGTCGAAAAATCATAAGGTATACAGGAAGTTGTTTTGAAACACACCAATCAAATGCTATAAAGGGCGTACAGCATCGAAAAAAAACATGATTGCGAGCGTTAGAAAAAAAACATGACTTCAATGTGTACAGGATGTCTCGAAATACATCATTCAAGAAAAAAATATGACGTCAATGTGTATGAGGTGATACAGGGTGTGCAGCGTTGAAGAACAAAAACATGGCGGCTGCTTGTCGAAAAGTCATTAGGTATACAGGGTGTCGTTTGAAAGTGGTTGACAATGTTTCATAGTGTATTTCATCAATTCGGACTTCCATTGTCTAATATAATATAAATTGATTTGAAATCACTGAAAAAATCTGTAAAAAATCAAAAACATCAACCGAAAAAATAACAATTTTATTGAACAAAAACATACATAGAAATAACATACAAGCAACAACCAACAACCAAAAAAATGTTTTCAGTTAATCTTTTTAATTTTTTTACAGATTCTTTCAGGGATTTCAAATCCATTTAAATTATACCAGACAATGAAAGTCCGAAATGATGAAGTATACAGGTTGTTGTTTCGAAACACAACAATCGAATGCGTTACAGGGCGTGCAGCATTAAGGAAAATGAATATATGATTGCCAACGTTGAATAAAAAAATATGGCGGTAATGTGTACAGGGTGGCTCAAAATACATCACTCATGAAAAAACATAATGTCAATGTGTACAAGGTGTGGCAAAAATAAATTATTTGAAAAAAAATATAAGAGTTTAACGGGGCGTTTTAACGTGTGATCTCTCAATGTTTATCGGGGTATCAAAATACATCATTCAAGAAAAAACGTGACGTCAATGTGTACAAGAAAAAACATGACAGTTTAACATGGCCCTATCGTTTTAACGTGTTACTCCTCAATGTGTATAGGATGTCTCAACATACATCATGCGATAAAAACATGATCGCGCGTGTGTTTCGTCATTAAGAAATATATATTAATAAACATACAGAGTGTATGAATTTATTCATCGTTATAAAAAAGTATGAATTTTTTCGGTTATCCTTTAGTGAATTGTGTCACCATCATCGACGAGGGGATACATCAGCACAGTTCATCGCTGATGATGGTGACCAATATATTAATCAATGAAGTTTCTGGTCTATAAGATTCATCGAAATATGAACACTTCCGGTTCATAAACATTAAGATTAACGAAAACTAATGGTGAATTCGGTTCACCTATATCGAGGAGACCAATAAAATGGTCATTTCCAGTTTTCACTTTTGGTCATCCGATTTCGATAATTTTGGCATCAATGGATACGTTTCTATGCCACGAAACATATTTAAGTATTTTCAGAAGTGCAAAAGGCTTAGAAATCTCACCTTGTTGACAATGAAAAAAAGGAGAGGATGCCGATATTCTAACCTCACAATTCTTACTGGAGAACATGAAAATAAAAGTCATAGATATGTAGTATGCACTTCATTTATTTTGGTAGTATATTATAAAACCATTCATATGAACATCGTATCGAGAGTTACGTTTTAGGAAAGGAAGTGGGATTGTTGGTAATTTTCATGACGTATCAGCGATTTACTCTTAGTATTGAATGAAATGTCTTTGAAAGAGTATAAATGTAAATTAGAAGAATTCGAAAAGGAATGGTTCATAAAAAAGGTATATGATTTTTGAGGATAAAAGTAAGGTTACTTGTTGGGAGATGATTTGAATCTACATGTAATTTAAAAGTTGATGAGTATATGAGTTGACGAAGGAAAAAACATATATGACGAGCGCAACATGATGGGTTATGAAAACGGCACGATTGGAAAAATGTGATGACGACGATGATGACAAGAAGGGCCTAACGTTTCAACATGCCATCCAACGTGTCAGAAGGACACTGAACCGCATCTTCGTTAACCAAATTAGCATCATCAGGAGTTGATCAGATGTAGGTGAACATTTAAGAAAAATTCATATAGTGTGTCGTTTGAGAAAGAACTGTATCTGGTGTATCAACTTGTGATTTTGTCCATATATAGTGTATGTTATTTGAAGTGCAATATCATTTGTCATTAATGATCTCTAACCAAGTGGGTATCATCAGGAGATGACGAATTGGCCGCATTTATAATTTATGATTTCTCGATGCGCATAACAAAAACTTTACAAAAATATAATGCGATAAAGCGTTAATTTTTTTGTACCGAAAAACGCATTGAGAATTTCGCAAAAATATAATGCGTTTGAACGGTAATTTTTGCCACTTCAATCGCATCGGAAAAAAAGCATTTTTCAAACCCCCATGTCTTGCAAAAACCCATATTATTTGCATTTTAACGCGTCTCGGAAAATAATGCAGAATTGACACGAAGAAACGCTTTAAGAACATTGAAAATATGATGCGATACAACGTTCATTTTTGTCAAAAAAGTCGCATAAAGAATTTCGAAAAATTCCAATGCGTTGACGGCCATTTTGTATACTTTAATCGCTTTAAAAGCTTTTTTTTTATTACTACATACTTTTTTAAAAAATATAAGCGCATATACAGAATGACTGAGTGTTTTATATAATTTAAATATTACAATGTACAATTCACTTATCTTGATACTTCCTGTTGCCTGACAAGTAAGTAATCTCTTAACAATTTTTCCAAATTTCTTAACCTTAAAAAAATTTTACAACTTCAATTTCACTAAATTCCCTTTTCAACTAGATCACTTACTTCCAGGTGAGCACTGATGATGACGAAAGTCGAAAGCGCTTTGAAAGTATTTTAAAATATTATACACTTTAATACAAAACCTCTTCGATTCATTAATTCAAATAAGTGTATTCAGCTTTTCCAAATCCTTTTCAAATCCTTTCAAAACACGTCTAACAGAAAGGCAGTAAACCGTTTATGATAGGAACCAGAAACGAAATTTCCTCAGACCTAGAGAAAAATGAAATTGCATAAGACATTCAAATTGAAATTGAGAGAAAATGTTTTTATGATATAGAG